TTTCTTCTGCGGCAGCTGCATCTTGCTGCTGCTGCTGCTGCAGCTGCTGCAGCAACTGTTGCCGTTTGTGCTGCTGTATCTATTGATGCTGCTGCTTGCGTTAATGCTTTTGCTGCTGTGTGGCTCAATGGTGCTGCTTTATTTGCTGCTGCTGCAGCTGCTGGACCTGCTGCTGCAGCGTGTCGCTGCTGCTCAACATCTAGACGTTGCTGCTCCTTTTGCCGCTGTTGCTGCTGCTGCTGCTGCTGCTGCTGCTGTAGGTTATGTGAAGCTGGCGGACTTGGGCGTCAGCCGGTGGCTTTCAGGAGAGACAGAAGATCCTCTCACTTTCGTCGGCACAGAACTCTACATGTAATTAAAGATTGGGGTTTAGGGTTTAGGGTTTAGGGTTTAGGGTTTAGGGTTTGGGGTTTAGAATTTAGGGTTTAGGGTTAGGGGTGTGTATGGAGCCTTCGTTTCAACGCGTCTCGCCGTTGCTGCAGCTGCCGCTGCAGTGCGATGTTGTTTATCACTTTTGCTGCTGCTGCTGCTGCCGCTATTGCTGTTGCTGCTGCTGCTGCTGCTGCAGGAGCCCTGAGCGTTTGTTCAGCGGGTCTGCTGACATTTCTCCTTCCTCTGAGGCTCCTGGGCGCTGCGCGGGCGCAGCAGCAGCAGCAGCAGCAGCTGCAGCGGCCGCAGCAGCGAAGAAGGGCGCAGCAGCAGCAGCAGCAGCAGCAGCAGAAGACGTTTCTTTCAAAGGAGACATCTGGAGCCTCGGAGTTGCTCTTCTAGAACTTGCTGCTCTCAGCCACCCTTTTCGCCAAGGAGTTCCCTGCAACATAAGTGATGCTGCTGTTGCTGCTGCGCTGCAGCAGCAGCTGCGAGGTGTCTATACACCCGAATTCAGAGACTTTCTCTTCAGCTGCTTGAGGGTTTCTCCTGCAAAAAGAAAAACAGCAAAAGAACTTTTGCTGCACCCCTGGCTGCTCGAGCACATGGCCACCCCCAAACAGTTCGTCAGGTCCGCCTCCAGGGTTTAGGGTTTAGGGTTTAGGGTTTAGGGTTTAGGGTTTAGGGCTTAGGGTGTAGGGTTTAGAGTTTAGGGTTTGGGGCTAGGGGCTAGAGTTTGACGGTGCGGAATGGCAACAGGATAATAATACACCAAAGTTCACCCAGGAGGCTAGGGTTGAGGTCCCCTGGCTCAGGGTTTAGGGTTTAGGGTTTAGGGTTTAGGGTTTAGTTTGTTCCCAGGTGGCTGGACGCGCTTTACAAAACCGCAGATGAGATTTTCACAAGAGTCCTTCAGGAGGAGCAAGGGGGTTCCCTTGCTGCTGCGCGCAGCCCAGCAGCAGCAGCAGCAGCAGCACCCGAAGGAGCAGCAGCAGCAGCAGCAGCACCCGAAGGAGCAGCAGCAGCAGAAGCAGCAGCAGCTCGCAGGCTCCCTGCTGTTGCTGCTCAGCGTCAGCAGACACCCCCATTGGCTTTGACACCTCATAGGGGGGCCCTTGAGGGCCCCCTAGGGGCCCCCCAGGTGCCCCCTCTTGCTGCTGTTCCAGTAGGGTGCAGCAGCAGCAGCAACAGCAGCAGCAGCTGCAGCAACTTCGACGCGTTCCCCCTCACTGCAAGGCAGCCCTTAGCAACAGCTCGAGCAGCAACAGCAGCAGCAGCACCCTGCTGCTCTGTCTTGCACAGCGGCCACTCCCTAACGCCTCCTGCGGGCTGCTGCCACCTGCAGCAGCAGCAGCGGCA